AATATGGAATTTAAAATTTTAAAAAATTATAGAATATTACTTTTATTTGTGTCAAATTTATATCTATAATATAAAACATGACGACTTCTATAAGTATATCCTACGGTCTCAAATTCATTCATCCAACGGTCAAGAAATTACCCTTTTTTCCTTAATATTTTCCCTCTCAACCGGTCAATGATTACAATTGATCTTAGAACACGTCTTACGGTCTCAAATTTATTCATCCCTCGATCAAAAAATTAACATTTTTTTCCTTAATATTTTCCCTCTCAACTAGTCAAAGATTACGAGTGACTTGTTATAGAAAATAGGGCTGCTCTACAAGTCCATCATACGGTCTCAAATTCATTCATCCAATGGTTAATAAATTATCATTTTTTCCTTAATATTTTTCCTCACAACCAGTTAACGATTACAATTAATTTTGGAACACATCTTACGGTCTCAAATTTATTTAACTAACGGTTAAGAAATTAACATTTTTTATTTAATATTTTTCCTTTTAACCAGTCAAAGATTAGAGCCGACCTGGATCACAAAATTTTCTAACATAATAATAAATGGTTCAAATTTGCCATTAATATTAATTGTGTAGTGTAACATTTTAAATTTATATAAGAGACAATGATAATATTTTGATTAAAAAAAACTCATTGATTTAGCAGATTTAAAAAAAATAAGGGCGCTGCTTAACACATTTATATTGAATATAATTAATTTTAATTTTATTTATTTAATTAACTATCTCAAACTAACATGTCTTACACATGTTTTGAATCAAAAGTTTAAAACTATTTTTTTTTATCTCTTAAGAAAACTCTACGCTAATATATTCTTATAAATTAATAATTTTGTAATAACTTCTACTAATTAAAAAATAATATTTTATAAATAATATTTGTAGATTATTTTTTGATAGAAAATATTTTGACGATATATTTTTTGATAAATTAGATTTTTAGTTTATATTAAATTTGACTCGATTTTGATTATATGTATATAAATTAATATTCAATTTTGATTACATGTTTATAAATTAATGTTTTTTTAAGTCAATTCTATTATATTTTGAGAATTTTATAATATAAAACAAGGTTGGTTCAACAAGCTCATCCGATAGTCTCAAATAAACTCATTCAACGGCCACCAAAATTTCTCTCAATATCATTTATATTGAATTTTATTTTCCTCTTCTCACTCTTCACTCCCTTTCTCTGGTAGTGGTAGAGGGAGGAAGGGTCTGAGGCCACCCTGAAAAAAAAATATTTTACTAAAATTATATATGTTTAATATATTTTTTTAGATTAATTGGGTCCACAGTAATAATTTATTAAAAAAATTAATTGGATTAAACAAGTTGGGTACTTGAACAAAAAAACAAAAACAACAAGTCCATACCAAATCTCTTAAAATAAACAAACTAAAATTGATTCCTTAGAGTATTGGTATAATTTGTTGAAATCTCATTTTGTTCAAAAATTATAGAATATATAGCCAAAAATGAGTAAAATATAGGATTTTTAAAAATATTAAAAATTATAGAATATTGCTTTTATTTGTATCAAATAAATTATATTATTGATCCTTAATGTATAGATGTTATCTTATTAATTTTTTTCAAATAGGCATTTTTTATGTTTAATGAATTTTTAAGTGTCAAATCTAATATAAAAAATATAAATATATCACATTATTTTTATCTATTATACTTAAAGTTTGTCCACCCTAAATCATATTTTTGGCTCTGCCACTATTCTCAGAGATCTTCACTCCTCATTTTGCCAAATTAATTGGTTGATTTATATTGTATCGTGCCTTCAGGTACAGATTACTCTTAGTTATCTATATAATAAAGTAATTTATAATTCAATTCTTAAAATGTAAACTAAATGACTTTTACTATTCGCGGTTGAGATTGTTTTAAATTTTATTTTAAAATTAATCTAACGATTAATTTTAACATCCTACATTTAATAAGAAAATATAGGGACCTAAGAGTGTGTTTGAAGTGACTTTTTAAAAATATTTTTAAAAATTATTTTTCGCAAATGCTTTAAAAAAAATAGTATTTGAAATTGTTTCACTACTACTGTTGTCGCCATCACCACCACCGCTGCCACCCCCCACCACCGTCGTTGCCCCCCCCCCCCCACCACTGCCACCACTATCACCACCGTCGCCACGGCCTCCACTGCCACCACCCGCCACCACCACCATCATCGTTGACCTCGCCGCCACTACCGCCGCTTCCATAGTCATTGCCACCCACCACAACCATCACCGTCTACTATCGCCCCACCATCTATTACCCTCACTATAAACTGATGTTTAAATTCATTTATCTGTTATCTATGTTTGTGATTTGATTTTAGATTTAAAAATACAAATATGTTTATTGTTTATAATTTTTTATTACTTTGTATCTTCAGGCATAGACAATAACTAGTCTATATAATAAAGTACAATACAATTTAAATCTCAAAAGATAAATAAAATGATTTTTATTTTTCGCGGTTGAAATTTTTTTAAATTTTACTTTAAAGTTAATATGACAACTAATATTAAAACCCTAAATTTAATAAAAAAAAATAAGTTTTAATGGTATATTTGGAGTGATTTTTTAAAGTGTTTACATGAATTATTTCTTATTAGTATTTAAAAAAAAATAGTTTGTTGAATCGCCCCACCACTACCCCCATTGCTCAACCATCATCCCTATCGCTCAACCACCACCACCACCACTGCTACACCCCTACCCAGCACCACCACCATCGTTGTCACCACCTTACCATCATCATCACTACTACCATTACCCAACCACCACCATCACCACTATCACCTCTGTCCCACCGCCACCACTACCATTACCACTATCATTATCATCACTGTCCCACCACCATCTCCATCGCCCCACCACTATTATCTCCACTACCACCGCTACCGTACCCTACCATCACCAACATTACTATCGCACCTTACCACCACCGCCACTATCTCCCCATTACCACATTACCTCTACCACCGCCCATCGCCCTACCACCACCACCACTACCACCATGACCACCACAATTACCACCATTATCACCAAACCGCCATCGCCACCCTACCTCCCACTGCCACCATCGCCACCCATCACTTATTGCTACCATCGTCGTTCACTACTACCACCCACCATTATCATCATCTTATTCTTATATTTATTACTATTACCATTATCATCCTACTACTACTCGCAGCCCACCGTCAGCACCCATCACTACCATTCTTGCCACTGTCACCCACTACCACAACCCACCACCACCTGTCATTGCCACCATCGCCACCAACCACTGTCACTCACCCCCATTACACCTACCACAACCACCCCGCCATCATTCACCACTGCAGCCACCCTACTCTCACCTACCTTCATCATACTTACCACTGCTGCCATGTGTCACTATTCATCACACTGTCACCTAAAAGCATTTATCATCGCCCATCACCACCATCGTCACCGCCCACCACTATCATCGCTCATCACCACCGTCGTCGTCGAACTACAACCATCGCCAACCATCATCATTGTCGTCCATCACCACCCACACCAACCACCACCACCGTCGTCACCCCGCGGCTACCACTACCATCATCGTCACCCAAACCCACCACCACCATCATCGTTGTAATCCACAATTGCCACCACCACCACGGTTGTCACCACCCACCACAACCATTACCACTGCCGCCCACCACCACTAACACCGCTCACCCCTTTTACAATTGGTACTTAAATTTCTTTATCTCTTATTTGTGTTTGTAATTTGATTTTAGATGTGAATACAAATATATTTATTGTTGACCATTTTTTTATTATTTCGTACATTCAGGACGAGAATAATAAACTAGTTCTTTCATATGTTAACTAATAGTTAATCTTGGAAGTATGGAGTTACAATGTTATATTCCTTTACAGATTGAATGACTACAGAGACGTTTGAATATGGAGCTCGAGTTGAACATGGTGCATACAGAAATATGTATGATGCTCTTCATAAGATTTTACCGAATTGCCCCCAATTATCCTAAGTAATTTTCAACAAATTCACTCTAACTACCACTTATTTTGATTTTTAAATCGATCTCTAGTTTTGTCATAATTCAATTAGTGTGAGTGTAATCTCCCATATAATTTTAGGGTCAGCCAATTCTCATCCCATTTAATGCTCTTATTTTAAATTACTAAGTCCACCCCCTATTAATGATTAAGTTCACCTCCGTATTCATCCAAGAAATTGAAACAAAAATAGTAATTAAAATGAAATTTCAATTTTTGAGATGATTTAGAATATTTGAAGGTATTTTGAGATATTTTGATATATTTTTATTAATGTTTTTAAAATATTTTAATGTGTTTTAAGATATTTTAGTATATTTTGACTAATATTTTAAAAATGAATTATTTATTTTTATTATTTTTCAAAAATATTTTTTTACTAAAATAATACACCAAAATAAAATTTTAATCATAATTTATATAGTAAGGTTAAAATAAAATAAAATGAATTTAATTTTAATTAGTGAATATAAACATGATGAGTTTAGTAACTGATGCGAAGAACTTAATAGTTTGAGGTAAAATGATTAAGAGTAATACTATTTGTACCTAAAAATTTGACCTAATTTACTGATATAATGATGTGACTTCAGCAAAATAAAATTTTAATATTTGATAGGTCCCATAGTCAATTCAAATGTCATAGTAGGTTATGTCAGCAAATTAGGTCCCAATAACATTGTTCACTGATTATATAAGGTAAAAAAAGAAAGAGGAGATTTAAGGGCGAAACCGTTAGTTTTATACTACTAATACAAATTTCCGTAAATAGAATTATAATCTAAACGTCGTCGTAACAGCACTTAAAAAAACAACCGCCCCAAATCAATGACCCGTCGGGTCGAGTGAATATCATCGTCAGGGTATAAAAACCTTAAGGCGGTTCCAAACTGACAGTCAATACGTCAAGCTCCTCTGTTTTGCCGGCGAATCAGCTCTGACTAGTGATCATGTTCTCCGATGTCTCTTCTTCGCTGGTCCGCCTAAACATCGGTGAGCAGCGATTCTCTCTCTCCCTCCCTGTTTTTGTGTCTGTTGGTGTATGTGTGTGTGTTGAGCAAATTGGCTTTGAATTGATCGATTTTTTCGGTAGTTGGAACCCTAACGAATCATGATCAAATGATGAAAGTTTTACCACACGCACAGTGGGAGACAGTTCAGATGCACATATTAACCCTGATTATGTGTTTTGAAGCTTGAAATTGTCGACTTGTAAATGGGTTTTGGTGAAAATTAGATCAGTTTTTGAACTAATTTGTTTTTTAACTCACAGGAGGAAAGAAGTTTTGCACGACGGTTGATACACTGACCCAGCGGGAGCCTGAATCGATGCTTGCGGCAATGTTCAGTGGTCGCCACACTATCTGCCAGGATTCTGAGAAGGTATATATGCATTATGTCTACTGTGCTGTTTACATATTATTTTCCCCTATTATAGGGTGATTTCTGAATTTCTTTTGGCTCCATTTTACCCTTTGCATTTGAGAATCCTTGTATCTTGCTATTTTTCTCCATTGCCCATTCTCTTTTTTCTCTTTCATTGAATCATTTTAGTGAATTGGACGTAAAGATTTAGAGTAATAACTTGTTTTTGTGTGTGTATGTGTACTTTGTGGGTGAGGAGGTGTTATGAAGCTTCCACTCTGTGACTATCCCTTGTTTCGGCCTTCTTTGTTGTGCTCTAATATTTTTTGCCTGTGTTTCTCAGCCAGTTATATACAAATTAGCCTTATTTTTTCTGAGTCTATTATGTCCAGTGGAAAATAGCCCTTGCAAGTTGGATGGTTATGAATTTTCGGAAAGACCTCTCTTACCCCTTTTGACTAGTAAGAACAAAGCTGGTCTCTTTTCGACAGGGCATTTCTTCCATTCTCTTGTCTGAGGTTTTGTACCCCTTAAAATTCTTTTTCTTTGTCATTAAATTATTTCAACCACAAATCTACTTTGACGAGAAATCCTCTTTATGACTAACCAAAGTTTATTGTTTGAAATCACATTTAAAAGACTTGTCCTCTTTTGTTACTGCCAATTGTGGTGTAACATAGGTCTGGGTTCAAAAAGTATCTGAAAGACAATCATCATTGGAATGTCCTATAAAACATAGCCAATTATTATATAAAGTACTTACCTTTGAAATGAGATCAAAGGAGTTGACCCTTTGTCTTTTCCATCTTTTCTTTTCTGTAGGTTTCACCCAGTCTAAACTTGTTATTTCTCAGAATAAATTTATTGGTTGTCCTATGTAAGGTATTAATGTGTGATTATAACTCATTCTTGTAAAGGTGGCCTTTGAGCATAGTTTGTCACTTTCTTTGAGCAATGGAGCCATTACGATTTGAATAGATCATGTGGGTCCAATCTTCATGGATAGGTTCTGCCTTGTGACTTTAAGGATCATATGTTTAGATTGCAATTGTTTGGTTTCTTATTGACTGCGGTTTTGCGTATTGAGTTCATCTTTAGTGAGCCTCAATGTTTTTGCTATTGTATTTCTGTACCTAATCCCTCCAGTTGACCATATGAGTCCTATGCTCTTGTTTGACCTTATTGAATTCTTGTAGGGGTATGTGTTTCTGGATAGAGATGGGAAACATTTTCGGCATATTTTAAATTGGTTGAGGGATGGTGTTGTTCCAACACTAAATGATTCGGAGTATTTAGATCTTTTGCGGGAGGCAGAATACTATCAGCTTCTCGTAAGCCATTCTTTTACCTACTTTAATTATTTCTATATGTCTCAGTTGTAATTCAGTCTCAAACACTGTTGCTGACTCAGCCTGTCCCAGTGTTTGTTGTTGATCAATGACATGTTCATGCTGGTTTAAATGCTCACATTTTGTCTCTTAATCCCAAATGTTCTGGAATGCGTTTATAAATTTAAACGTTTGTACCGACCTTTTTGCTTGCTGAGTTTGATTTTAACCCCTTCATGAACCTTCTTTTGTAAGAATCTATATAATAAAACAGGAGTGCGTTTGACTTTTATCCCAGTCATATTTTTCCCCTCAAAACCATCACCAATCACTGACCTCACCCATCATCCCTTTTTCAAACTCAAATATCAAATCGCATCACTTATTTCTATCATATGTTTAATCATTTATATATTTTTTTCTTAAAACATCACATCACTTATTTATATCATATTTAATCATTTAATATTTGATTAATTTGTAGTTAATATATTTTGAAAAAAATTAATATAATGGGATCGATTTTTTGGACGCTCGAATTTTATATTTTATCGTGCCTTCAGGCACGGTTATGACTAGTATACCAATATAACAAATATGAAGTTTATGTACTTGTGTAAGTTTGCCTCTTGAGAAGTGCTTGGTATGATCAAGATTCTTCAAATTTTCAAATGTTAAGATCATTGCATAAGTGAAAATTGCATAATATATTTTCTTGGATTTGCAAATGTTTTGAAAATATACATAATTCAATCAACTTTCCAACAATGTCATGAATGTTATGATCATATTTCATCCCCCACCAACCTTTTCACTCACACACACAATGAAAGAAATGATAAAGAAAAACAATGCGTGTGTACTCCTACATTTACATATTTGTTTGACTGTGGAGACTGTTTTTCTCATTCTTCGGGTGTTATGTTTTGTTACTCTTTTATTTTGAATAAAGAAATTAGCGGTAGCTTGGACGGATCTTTTAAATTCATTACAGGGGGAGCAATAGATACTATTCTTTCATCTTATTTTTCACTCTAGCTTAATGTTTGATTCCAGGGACTAATTGATGGAATTAAATCTGTTTTGAATGAGAGGAAGGAGAATGAGGAGTTGGATACTGAATTGACACGTATTGATATCATCAAATGTATACAGTCTGAGAGAGTCAGATTTCGAGGATTGAATCTGTCTGGGCTTGATCTTTCCAAACTGGTAGGTACTGTTATTCTTTCCACATATACCTACACAATTACTTGCACATGTGCAACTAGATTTTGGTCGATGCATAAAGTGATTATCTTGCCATAACTCCACATATTCGTGCGAATTAGACAAGTTTCTAGATTAATTAAAAGAAATAAATGTTTCTTACACAAAAGGGGTTCTATTACCACTGGCCGGTACCAGCTTTTTGTTTTCTTGGGGGATCTCTAATTATGGCGAGATGACTTTTGGGTGGAAGAAAGAACAAATAGTTGACTCATAGCTGCACTTCTGATGTGTTCTGCTTTAAAAATGTGTAGGACCTGTCTTTTGTGGACTTCAGTTATGCATGCCTTAAAAATGTATTCTTCTCACGTGCAAACCTTCAGTGTGCAAAATTCCGGGTAGGTTTCTTGCCAATTTACCTTAATATTTACTCCTCTTGCAAAGGTTTACTTTTAGTGTCTTTTGACGTATCTTTATACATATTTTCTATTTATAGCCTTTTTAAGCCTTCTTATTTCCAAGTCTGTGGTACGCAATCTAGTAGGTAGTTTGGTCTTGAAGGATTACATGGGTCAATTTTTAATTTGGGATTCCTTTTATTTTTCAAGATTGCGGGTAACAATTGTATTTAATGGTTCTGACTAGAATTTAGTTGTTGAATTACATAGTTAAACCATTCTTTCCTTACAGGATGTGGATGCCGAGGCTTCCATTTTTCATAATGCAACCTTGCGCGAGTGAGATCTCAAGAAAACTCTATTTTGTTTTTTCTTGTGAATGAGGCTTGAATTTGCCAGTCCTCTGATTGTGTCTCAACTTTCCCTGACTGACTCAGTTCTGGTTCCACTTTTTAGCCAGCGCTCTCTTTTCTATACTATCTAGTTTATATTTACTTTTATATTGCCTGCTCAAGTGATTTTGTCTTGCCTAGGAAAGATGTGAATTCACAGGGGCAAATCTTCGTGGGGCTTTGTTAGCTGGAGCTAATCTTCAAAGTGCAAACTTGCAAGGCAAATTTTTCTCCTTGTATTGATTATTTCTCTGTTGTCTTTGTATCATCTTTTTAAGTCTTAGGACATGTATGAAATTTAGTACTTGAGTGGCTATCAGATACTATAATTGGAGCCTAAATTGACGGGGTTCCAACAACAAACATGTATCCTACATTTTTAAAATTGCAACTGTCTTTGAAACTTATGAGGCTAAACACCTTTGGTGCTGATCCAGCTCTAAAAGTACTCAGCATATCATTCGAGCAAAGTTTTTGTAATTTCCTTCCAGTTCTGTCCCTAAATATTATGTATATTTGTGTATCCGTAAATGTACATCTGTCATTTGTTCCATTTTCTCTTGCCACAGAACTTCCTTCTCTACCATATTTTCAATTTTTGTCTGCTTGACCACATTTGTTGTAGAAGAACCAGCCTTCTGCACTGTAGACATTTCCTCTCTCTCTCTCTCTCCGTCGGTGTGTGGCTAATGTTTGTCTAAAAAACAAAATAACTTGCACACCTCTTGCAGTTTGGTCTCTACCTGTCACGTGGACACATTCGTGGCAAATACTTTAATTTTGCTCACTTGTGGGCTACTGAAAACCAACTTATCTGATGCTCCAATAGAACCATCTTGTGTGGTAGATATTAGCATAAGAAATTGAAGAACTGAAATAGCATTTTGATTCAGGAATTTAGAGGGAAAAAAATACAATGGTACCAAATGGTTTGCCACTGGTATTTTCTGTTTGCTGTAAAGATGTCAAGGAGTGTTTTCACCAGTAAAGCTGATCCAGTTTTCCTGTCTATTTACGATGCCAAATTTCTTGTATTTTTGGGAGCTGATGCTGACAATGGCAAAATGGATGAAGTTAAGATGTTCTTGTCATATTGCAGATGCTTGCTTGGTAGATTGTAGCTTTTGTGGAGCAGATCTGCGCTCGGCACATCTACAGGTTCAGTTTCTTTGGATATTACAATTATGTAGTTCACTTGTCTCTGGGCGCTATTTAACTTACCCTTTTCCTTCAAGTTCATCGTTGTTAAGTAGTATATTATATTATTTGTCTTTGTAATAAGTATACCACTCAAGGGTATACTAGTCCTTTTCTATTCTTCTGATACCTATATATATGAATCAAGGGCAAGAGGTAGGGTTAACAACTTGATTGGCCACTTCTCACAATTCTATTCGTCTTTTTTCCCCTGTAACAACTAACCCTAAACTTGACAATCGTGAAGTAATTTACAGCTAATAACTATGTTCTTCTGTTTCTTGTTTTGGGTTGGGTGGGTCTGGGTGCTTGTTTCTTTTTGGGAACTGGGCATCTTGGGCCCCCTAATATTTTTTTTTGGGGAAAAGAATAAGGCCTCTTGATTCGTTGTCTTCAGTTATCCATAGATGCGTTGGTCGGGTCACTTCTTCTTTTTGGGGAACTAGGAAGCATTGGCATGTCCTACTTTTTGGAATAAGAATAAGATGTGTTTGACTCCTTGTCTTCATTTATTCATGTACGCTGTCTCCAACTTAAGTATAGACCAGAAGCACAATGTAGATTTGAGTATCGATTGAAGCCCAATTGATACGAGTCATATGACTAGGCATTTGTATGGTTATCTGTTAATTCAATACTTATTGTTAAACTACACCAACAAGAACAAAGCAGCAAAAAAATATGAAGAAAGCAAATTCATGATAAGTTGGTATGTTGATTTTTGTATTTGAAGATTCTTTTAAGTTTCTACATGAAACAGTTACCCGTGTGCTATATGATCATTTGTTTCAGTGAACTTTCACAGGATTCATTAATCTGTTTACTAAAACTTTCAGACTGCTGATCTCACTAATGCCAACTTGGAAGGAGCTAATCTTGAAGGAGCCAATTTAAAGGTATAACTTTGCCTTGTGGTTGTGTAACAACATTACTCTGAAGTATATTCTCAAAAATCATGTTCTTCGCTTCACACTTGGACTGGATTAGATAAATAGTTTAGCGGAAGACCTGTTATTTATTAGACTGAACTTAGAACAGGATATGGAGTTAATTAGTTTGGGCAATAGTGAAATGTTGTCTCATAACGTTCAATATACATATCTCAATCTTTGTGGGTATCATGCAAGCAATCATATTCGTTTCAATATATTCAATTTTGATCAAGTATTCATTTGTTGTATTGGTTTTTCATATCTTACCTACAAATATATGCTTTTAAACTTGCATTCCTAGAATATCCGTTTGAATTTAACCATTTTGTTTGTTGGAGCTCTAAATCCCCTTTTTTCTTAGGGTGTAAAATTAGCTAATGCCAACTTGAAGGGTGCAAACCTTCAACGAGCATATTTACGACATGTGAATCTTCGTGATACTGTAAGTCAAACAAGCAAACACTGAACTTCAGGATTTTTCATTTTGTTTCAAGATTTACTCGTGTAATTTTTGGGTTTTCAATGTCTACTATTACCCAGAGATGGTATTGAATGGAACACTCTTCTAATGTCATGAAGTGTCTGATATCTAATTCCATATGCTTCCATGATGCCCATGCCCTTCGGCTTATAAGTTTACTGATGGAACACCACCGAGATTCTAAATCTGTGCAATGTTCATCCCTAACTTCCGTGTTTGACTCTAGATGACATGTTATTATTTTGGTGTTGGGAATAATTAACTTTTCGTTTTGACCATATGACTGGATGCAGTTTAGTGACAACTTGTGTTTTATGTTGTATCTCACAGCATTTGGAAGGTGCAAAGCTTGATGGTGCAAATTTGCTTGGAGCAATCAGATAACGACTGAGAGATGCTATATGGGTTTGATGTGAATTAATATTATTCATGTTCTCTATTCTATGCATAACCTTCCTCCCCATCCAACTTATTTCTCTCATCCCTTCTATTTGCCTAGTCATTCTCCAGTTTAACTCCGATAATCTGTAAATACTGTGCGGAGTACTGTACAGATGACAGTGACACTTGAACACGAAGAGTTTTAATTGTGGCGTCTAGATAACAGTTGGTTTATAAGCTATTTGATATGCTAATAATATTTGGTTGTTCTGATGGGCAGTCGGTTTGACTATTTAATCCCCATTTGGATATGGTGTCACTGTACAGCTTGCTAAGAGTGAGAAGTGTGTTTTCTTTCTTCTTAGTTATGGAGAGTGGTTAGGTCATCCTTGGCTACTTGGAAGTAGGCCTGCCAAGGGATTGAATTTGGGTAGATCTTGTTATGGATTGAATTTACTATTTTGTTACACCAAATGAACAAAGTTCTTATGCACAAAGAGACAATCACTGACTACGTCGTCAACCCAGCAAAAAAAAAAAAAAATGACTATGCCGCAATCTTCTCATTATTCCGGTATCTCTTCTCTTCTACAATTATTCTTCAAAGGTTTCGGTCACTTATTCGAGAAAATATTCCTTACAGCGGTGACACCACTTGTGGGGCAGAATAGACTAGTAGTCTTGGTCCACATTGCAAAGAATTCAGCAGGCCCCAATCAATATAAATTGCACAAGAGTTGTTGTAAACATCATCTTTTAAGTTTCAAGTGAATTGGCTTTGTCATCATGAAGGAACATGATTTGTCCATAAAATGTTGTGGAAATCATTCAATATATATACCAAGAGAAGAAACAATTAGTAAGAATTGTGGAAAACTTCAAATATTCGTACCTAATTTGTTAGTAAGTCCAGAAATGTACTTTTTAAGGCGTAATGTCTAATTTGGAAAAAATTTAGCCTCATTTTATTAAGCTTATTATATTTTCAAAAACATCCTTTCTATTTTCTGAATCTTCATTGATATCCATGCCAATTTAAAAGTATTAATTAGAATATAGTTTTATTAAATTATCTATGATATATTTTATAAAAAATTTCATCACACACCCATCTAGATAGGCGTATCTTCAATGAGACCCGCTCTAGATAGTTATATCTTTAATGAGACCCTCTCTATTTTTTAATTTTTTTTATGTATTAAAATTTAGGTTGATTAAAATTTAATTTGAGCTAATTAAAATTTATTTTTTATGTATTAAATTTTGAGTTAATTAAAATTTATATTTTTTTACTTATTAAAATTTTAACCGATTAAAATTCTATTCGAGACTCAAATCAAAGACTTGCATTAAATTTTATCAACCTGAATTTTTATATATAAAAATGTAGAGGTTAAATCAGCTCGAATTTTAATACGTAAAAAAAAGTTTTTAATAGGCTCAAATTTAAATACATACAAAAATAAAATTTAATCAATTTGAATCGACTCGAATTTTAATACGTAAAAAAAAAAATTTAATTCGCTCGAATTTTAATATGTAGATTAATAAATTTTAATCTAATTTTATATAGAAAGATTGTTTGAGATTTTATGTAGGGGCAATTTGATATTTTAGATAATTTATTTTTATTATAAATAATAGTTTAATGACAAATAGTGACAGTGATGCTTAAATATAAACTAAAACGTTTTCGTAAACTTTTTTTGTCCTCAGTGTAAACTAATTTTTTTCTTTTTTTTTATTACAAAAATACCCTCATTGATATTTTCCAGTCGACGTCTGCCTTCGGCGCTCCATCATTCCAGACGTCTCTCTCTATCTCTCCCAACGCGTCCTTAGGGTTTCTCTCCAATCCTACGTTTTTGATTTCTAGCTCTCTGATTTCTCATTCTTTGTTTATTCTTTTGGGGGCTCCAATTTGTGAGTTTACTCTCTCTCTCTCTCTCTCTCTAGATCACACACATACACACAAATGGGCTGATGAGGTACCCAGCACTGCAACATTGCTGCTCCAACCATTATAATTTGAATAATGAATTACTTCGTTTTGATGTTTTTTGGAATCCATCAACGATGATTTGAGACTCTATTTGAGTATTTAAGTCGTTGAAATGCATTATTTGCTTTGGCTTCGAATTGATATCTCATGCACTCTATTGAAGGCGTCTTTTAGTTTATGAACCATAACCAGAACAATGACACTAGGGGTTTATCAAGTATGCATGTATTGAAGGCGTCTTTTCTCTCATTGATGTTATCAATGGATATAAAGATGAAGGATGACTTTTTGCATAATATAATGATAAAGGATGATTAATTATGGTTAATTTGTGGGAATATGCATGAATTAAAAGACATTGAATTAAGAGTTTTATTTTATTTAACTTAACAGTATGTGAAATTTTTTTGAACTAGGAGTTTCATCATATTAAAATTCACTGTTTTTGGAGTTTATTGTTTATCTTTTATTCAATATTTTTTGATTTTACTATTTTTTCTATATATTTTTCAATTCAAATTTTTAATATTAGATAGTTTACGGTTTGTGAAAATTTTAAACAGTGAATTATGAGTTTCTTTCTATTAAAATTCATTGTTTGTGAACTAAGAGTTTTATTATATTAAAATTTATTATTTTTAGAGTTCACTATTTATGTTTGTTTCAATATTTTTTTAATTCACTTTTATGAGTGTGTGGCGATGATGGGTGGTGGGGGTGGAGGTGGGGTGGGTGGGGCGGTGGTAGTGGCCATTAGTGGTGGTTGGTGGGCGTGGCCTACGGTGGTGGGTTTTGGGTAATGATGGTTGGCGGTGACAATGGTGATGGGTGGCGATAATGAGTGGTAGTAGTGGACGACAATAGTGGTAGTGGTGAGAAATGACGAATGGTGGTGTATGCGGGCAAGGGTGGGCGGTGATGTTGATGGTATAGGTGGTGGTGGGTGGATGACGATGGTTGTGGTGATGGTGGTGGTGAAAAGTGACAAATAGTGGCGACAATAATGGTGGTGGGTGGCGGCGACGGGGGTGCATGTCGTTGGGGGTGGATAGCGATGGTGATATCTATGGGTGGTGGTGGGCGACGGTATTTGTGTTGGGTGGTGGTGGTGGTGGTGGTGGTGGTGGTGGTGGTGAGCGGTAGTGGGTGGTTGGTGGTGGTGAGAAGTGGTGAATAGGGGTGGCGGTGGAATTTTTTTTGATAAAAAAAAAAAGAAAAAAAAGATTATAGTGGTAATAAATATAAAAATGAGATAATAGTGGATAATCTCCTTTGTTAAGGGTATTTTTATCAAAGATTGATTTTATGGACATATTACATTCATTAAGGGTATTTTTATTAATGACTGATTTTATGGATCTTGTCTTAAAAGTGTTCAGGTGGACCTTTCGCCTTAAAAGTGCCTAACTTTATACCTATAGCCCGAAGATATTTCACTTTCAATTAGCCTTTAATTATTCATTTTAAAATCTTTCTCTCCATGGAAGATGCTTAGCTCATTTGAATAATTAAATCTGAAATCCATATGCTTTCAAAAGTAAGTTTGTTTGTTTTTTGGCTAATTATTTTAGCTAATAACAAAGTTTGGAAAAAGATGAGACGGTCTTAGTGTAGGTAAGGGTGTTAAAATATAACACAACTTATTAATATGACACGAATATAACACTAAATTAGAGGGTTTGAGTCTTTCTTAAGTTATTCGTTTCGTATACGAATGAACCTGATCCGACTAATAAATGAATCGTATACGTGTGAAACCAATCAAAAGAAATATATGAGACGACTCGTTTAAATACCAGTTATACACGATTCATATATGATACAAATCTAGTATGACACGAATTAATAAACGAATCAAGTATGAATGTTGTGGAAACCTCGTTCACTGGACTGCCCTTTCAAGTGAAAAACGGAAAAGGGTGGGTGAACCTAACCCACACCCAAGATACCTATCTATCCCAGCCTCTCAGGGCCTTAAACCCTCTAATCTATCTACATTATTATAGAAATCAGGTTTTATTACAACTGAATGACAATCCATCCTTTCCTCACACTTCTCTAATTTACAAATATTGTATTTATTTTGGATTTTTTGCACTTTGTAACTCAAAAGATGTCTCGATTTTCATTTTACACCTTAAAAGATTATTTCCACGTTGTACCCTAAATGTCGTAAATTGGTTTCAATGTGGCCCTCGAACTATCATCTGTTTTAGATTTTGTTAAAAATTGATACACTTGTCACCCATGTATGTTGCTCTTGGATAAAAATGCAAAGTCACTATTCCTATCTTTGGATATTTGGGTGACATGTGCATCAATTTTTAATAAAATCTAAAACAGATGTCAGTTCGAAAGTCAAATTAGAATTAATTTATGACATTCAGGGTTTAATGTGAAAAAAACAATCTTTGGGGTGCAAAGTGAGAATCAAGATTTTTTTTGGAGAACAAAGTACAACAATTCCTTTATTTCAAGATTTAAAAAAAAATGACTTCCTCAAATCATTACCCACCACATGACTTCGTAAAAACTTCCCCCACCATTTACTACCACATGATTTCAGTTAACTTGTCCTCTCCTCTATCCTCCAAAAAAATATTATCCAAATGCTCTCATCTATCTACAATTTGGATCAACCTGCTTAGGTCCCTAAATTTTTGAAATTTTTTATTAAAGTACTAGTCTTTAATAATTGATTAATACACACAAAAAATACATACACAATTTCACGGAAAATGATGTATAAAAATTTTCACCAATGTTTATTAATTTTTGTGTGATCTTATTTGATTAAGTTTTTACCAATTTTAGCCTAACAACATCATTAACCGATTGCCAAATTTGGTAAATCAAACTAAAACCAACTCCCCCCCCCCCAAAAAAAAAAAAAAAAAAAAAAGAAGCATAAAAAATCATTTCAATCCCTACTTGTTTGAAGAGGACATCTTATTCTATGTCTGCCATCGAGTTCTAAAGTATATGGACCCGAAAACATAGCGGGTGATTTAAGAAAAAATAAAACAAGATTATTTGCGTATGAAAACGAGGAACTTAATCTCTTAGCATATCCCCCAATTATTAAGAGAAAGGGATACCAGCTAGAGCCACAAGGCATATTGCTTCGGATAAGGTTTGATAAAGATAGCCCAATGACTTTAAACAATTTACTAAGGTACTGTCACTATTCTTTATCGAGACCAATTAACATTTGTCAAAGCAGAACATGACTTAGTTTACAGGGTTATCATACCACCATTAATATCGTCACCAAAGGCCCCTAAATCTAATTACGATTTTGCCAAAAACAGAAAATAAAATATTCAATGCAAAGTTTATACGATTCTTGTCAATTAGAGCCGTTAGGGCCGGCCCAACAGTAAAGGAAATGAAACGGTAGCTTTAGGTCTCATCAATGAAAAAAGTCCCA